ATTTATACTTGACTTGTTTGATCCATCACATTGGAATTCTTGTTAACATATTTCAGTATCTAAGATCCCCTATTTTAGTAGTTTACAATAATCTATGTATAATATTATAAATATAGCCTAAACATTACAAGAATAGTTTTGTGCAATTTTCTTGAATTCACTATTTCAGGCAAAGAGAAGTTATTTTTAATAACACCATTTTCTTCTTTCTTAGAAATATTATAGAAAAGCATTTCTCCTTATAGTTTAACAATATATATCTGTCCAGAACACTCCAGATTAATCTTAATCTAATGGCTTTGGCTACCCAAAATTACACTCATCTCACAAATTTAGCTGTATAAAAAAATTTAAGCTGTAGCTTAATTCTGAGTTTTAACCAATGAAATGTGAACATCTAAGATGATGGCAGACGATAATTCATTAGTTTCAATTCACTTTATGAAGAAAACAGGCAGTACTAATTTCCTTATGTGTACATTCTTTAAATAGAAATTCTTATAGGTGTTAGCATTTAAATCAGCTCTAATGTACTTCAAAATGCAAACAAGTCACATGAAAGTGTAAATTCTATCAAAATTTCATAAACACAACAAGAAAATTCAAATATAAAAGCACAAAGACACATAGTACTTCAGAGATAATATACAAAATAATTCAGAGATGGCCCTGTACTCTCTTAAGAGTGTTATAAATTGTATTTCTTTTCTGTAATTTATTAAAGGCCAAATCTGGGAAAGAAGAGAGACAGAAAAATGACTTATAGGTAATAAGATAATGTACATTTTACTAAAACATGTGTTGCCAAAGTCCAAGGGAGAATAGGCAAATAAACACCTAAAATAAAAACAAGTCATTTCTGGCTTAGGCAATCCACAACCAACAAACTGGTGTTTAAACTTCCTAAAATCAAAAGAAAACAAAAGCAAACAAAATGCATCTGACAAAACAGAAACATGTTTCATCTGAAAGAAACTAACCTTTTATATTACTATGAAAACAAAAACTATCATCTTTTAGGAATCTACATTGTCAGTCAAACATTCTACATACTAGTGTCTAGGTATCTTCCATCCATATGCTCTTGATGCTTAAGGAATGAACATAGGATATAATCAACTCCCAGAAGCTAAGCCCAAGAAGACTGCCCTGTAGCCTGACTCCATGGGAATCTGCTTGGCCTAGGGATAGAGGTAATCTAACTCTATACGGTTTTTCAAATCTTTACTGAGTGAATTTATCTATATGCAAGTAAATCATTTTTTATCAGGTCAGTTAAGAAGTCTGTTCCCAACAAATATATGAAAAATGCTCAGCGGCTGGGCTCGGTGGCTCAGCCTGTAATCCCAGCACTTTGGAGGCTGAGGTGAGAGGACTGCCTGAGCCCGCGGGTTTGAGACCCGCCCGGGCAACTTGGTGAGACCTCATCTCTACAATAAATCAAAAACTAGCCAGGTGTGGTAGCGCGCACCTGTAGTTCCAGCTACTTGGAAGGCTGAGGCAGAAGAATAGCCGGAGCCCAGCAGGTAGAGGCTGCGGTGGCCAGGAGTGGCCACTGCACTCCAGTCTGGGCGACAAAGTGAGACTCCAACTCAAAAACAAAAACAAAAACAAAAAAAAGAAAGATGCTCAGCTTTACTAATTATCAGAGAAATGTAAATCAAAACTACCATAAAATAACACTTCACACTGGCCAGGATGGCTAACAACACAAAGTGAAAAATCAACATGTGTTGGCGAGGCTATGGAGAAAAGGGAATGCTTCTACACTGTTGGAGGGAATGTAAACTAGTTTAGCCTTTGTGGAAAGCAGTGTGGCATTTTCTTAAATAAGTAAAAATTGAGTTGCCACATGATCCAGCAATCTCACTTCTGTGAATATATCCAGAGAAACATAAATTGCTCTACTAAAAAGATACCCTTGCACACGGATGTTCATTGCGGCACTATTCACAATAGCAAAAACATGGAACCAACCTAGAAGCCCATTGAAAGTTGACTGGATAAAGAAAATGTGGTACATTTACACAAAGGAATACTACATAGCCATCAAGAAGAACAAAATTATGTCCATTGCAGCAATGCAGATGCAGCTGGAGACCATCATTCTAAGTGAACTATCACAGAAACAAAACACATTTCCTCACTCAAAAGCATGCCCTAAACATTGGGCACAAAAGTACAGAGGCAGGAACAAGTGACACTGGGTACTGCTAATGAGGGGGAAAGGAGATAGAATAGGGGCACATAATCATTCATTGGGCCCACTACCAGGGCAGAGAGGGCTCACTAGAAGCCCAAACCTCACAGGCATCCTATTTATTTATATAGGAAATTCTCACATGTACCCCACAACTCTAAAATAAAAAAGAAAAAGAAAAAGAAATAAGTTTTTTGTTTTTTGGGTTTTTTTAGTGTTGGAGTCTTACTCTGTCGCCCAGACTGGAATGCAGTGGCCGCTCCCGGCCACCGCAGCCTCGACCTGCTGGGCTCCGGCGATCCTTCTGCCTCAGCCTTCTAAGTAGCCGGAATTATAGGCATGCGCTACCACGCCCAGATGATTTTTGTATTTATTGTAGAGATGAGGTCTCACTGCCCAGGCGGGTCTTGAACCCGCGGGCTCAGGCAATCCACTAACCTCAGCCTCCCACAGGCGCGGGATTACAGGCTGAGCCACCAAGCCCTGCTAGGAAATAAGCATTTTGCTTATGAGGGAGAGGGAAAGGAACCCCTCTTCCCAAGAATAGAGGGACTGTTTTACCATGAGCTTCAAGGGCAGGAATGTAAATTCCATTACATATCGCATTTTTGTGTCCATATAGATTAAATGGTATGTAAAACTTCTATTTTTTTTTAAGTTAGCAAGGAATTAGTTATAGCAGGCAAATAAAAGATTTGTGCTATCTGGTAAGACTTTGAAGGAACAGTTCTTGAGACACTAGGAACAAAGAAATATCAAGGAAAGACAATGTAGTGCAAGATCCAGGCTAGGATAACCTTAAATTTGGCCCTGATTCCATGGTTGAATGAGCCTATTTGCATAAATCTTGAGTCACACCTGATTCAAGAATAAAAGAAGGTACATCTTGCCAAAAAGTTGTTTCTAAGAAGCACAAGGGAAAAGATTCTGCAATGACCAGTTCTGTTTTTATAAACAGCATCATTCATGTCCCTTGTGGGCTTGCTAAGGGGCCTTCTCAAATTACATCTATGCAAATTTTATTTCCCAAAACATTATAGTATATAATAAAATGCTATTATTTGAGGAAAATGGGGAAAGTCACCCAAAAGTAAACATATAATGAAGCATACCAACTACTGTATAATGAAAAAGTTTAGTATAATGGACAAAACTGCATTTCTCTATAATTTACAAGCAAATAATGTTAAATTATGCTCCCAAATTATATTTTCCACAATTAGGTCATCTTGTTAAAACTGGTGATGTTATAATTAGCCCTGGGTTATACTGTCACAGCTAACTGCCTTATCCCAGTTGATTACTACCAAGCAGGAGAAGGCTGTTACCCTTCTACCATCTATGCCATAGGCACTCATTCCCTCCAGTCAGCTGCTCTTGGAGCAGTCTTCCCAGACAACTGCTGTGAGGGTGTGCACTCTGCACTGGCTACCACTCAGGGGCCATAAAATGGTAAGCCTGTGCTCTCTCCTGCCAATCTGTGAACACAGTAGACATGTCGAGCAGGGGTGCCTCATTTTAGACATTCTGGGAATTTCCAGGCTATAGAGCTCACAGTACTCATTCATTTCCTCATGTAGATGGAAACTAAACAAGCATCAAGATAACACCCTGCTGTAACCAAGCTATGGAAAGCAGATAAGGAATAAAGGCAAGTCTAGGTCACTGAAAATGGTGCATCAGCAATTCGAAACTATCTCTGACTTCAACATTTAAAAGTTCACACCACATCATAATAACAACTCGCTAGCCTCCATTTCATATACCTAAAATGATTGGAGGAAAGCAGTCCTGGCTAAACTGTAGTGTGTGAGGGGTAAAAAGAAAACAAAACCAAAAACCAAAAGCAAACAAACAAAAATGCTTGTGAGCCTGTTAAGCATCCCAGAAGAACAATGGCAGGTCACCATCGCAGCAGATCTTTCTCAAGTGTTCCACAAAACCAGGTCTTCCAGCCCCTCCCCATGCCAGGCCACTTTCCCCCTCTGCTCTGTGTGTTCCTGGCCTAGTGACCTGGCTCAAATGTACTGAGTTCCTCCCTGCCTTATTGCCTTCAAATAAACCATTTCCTCTTCCTGGAATGCTCTTCCTCCCTCCCTTCTTGGCTACTCACTCTTCTCTCTTCAGCTTAAAAGTTAATTTGTCAGTGATGAGTTCTGAGTTGATCCCATATTTCTTCCCCTAGACCTCAGAACAGGATAGAAACTTTACTAATTACACAAATGTAATGAATAATTACTCATTCGTTACTTTTTGAATGTAGGTCTTCTGTAAACTCCATGAAGGCAGGGCAGTTTCTGTCTTCTTTTGCTGTATTCCTAGTCATTAGGCTAGTGTCTGGCACTCAACAAACATTTGTTAAGAGAATAAACAATAAATATTATAATTAATGTGGGTCTTCAACCCTTCAACACACTTCAGGATAATTATTTTGGTCTACATTTTACAAATGAAGAAAGCATCAGAGAAATGTACGTAAATTCAAACAGCAAGTAGGAAATGGCAGACTTAAAGAACTTCCTGACGCTGAAGCCAAAGCTCGAAGATCAGATTAGTTTATCAAATTAGTGCCTGGCCCACAGAAAGCCATTCAGCGGTTCCACTTCTCCATGAGAACTTCATGATGAGAATTATGATGAAAACTGTTGACATTATTTCCCAACACATAACTGATTTATTTATACTGACTTCCTGCTAATGGGAAAATGAATAGTTCACAGTGACTTATGCACATGGACTGAATGGTTTAAGTGCCTTCCTGAGCATATATAAAAGAGATGTGAAGTAAAAAGACACTTACCATAATTCCAGTAAGCAAACAGACTCCTTTCCCACAGTATGTATTAGGTACCATGTCACCATAACCAATGGAGAGAAAAGTTATTGATATCAACCACATTGCTCCAAGGAAGTTGCTAGTAACATCCTGTTGGTCATGGTACCTGAAAAATAGCAAACAAAGCCAGTCTTTTATAATTAATCTCCAGTATGACTGCCCAGGATTTGATTCAGTTCAATGAATTTACCATGTCTTCTATATACTACTGTATTTAGAAGTTTTCAAAGGTTGCAATTATAAATACAATTGAAGTTCCATCTAAGGCATCCAAAGGACATCAGGAAGTGCCTCAAATTTTAAAATAAGCTGAAAGAGAAATTGTACACTATGAAAACTGATTTTCTCAATGGTGTAAAATGGATGCATGCACATTTATCTGAGTATAAGATACACTCCTCTGGGCTCTGCCCATGTCCCATCACCCCTTGATGCCTAGCTGTGCCAGACCTAGGAGACAATATGCAGTTGTCCAGTCTCAACCCACTTCTTTCTAGCAAAAGGAATCATACTGTTCCTTTGTTTGGACTGTCCTATGCTACCTTTATTTCCCTACTACGAACTAACTCCTTAGCTTACTTCAAAATAAGTTCAGGTGGAAGTCTCTTCTGTCTGTTCTTCTGCCCAGCACCTCCTCTGTGCTCCCTTAGTATCCTGTGCACCCCCCCAACCACAGGACCATACCATAATGTCTGTCTACCCAGAAGTCCTTCACTAGCCATCCTCTTTGAAGACAGAAACTGTACCTCTGATCACAGAGGCCCTGTCCAGTGCTAAAGCTTAAGAGAAGTTGTTGTTTCACCAGTTGCATACAAAGAACTTACAGTCAAAAAAAGGGAGAAGGATACAGTGGATCTTGATTAGTCTTTGAGACATCAAGTTCAACTGGCCAGAAAGATTTTTTATATCAGAGATAAGTATCTTACCACATTTTTCTTTAATTAACAGTACTAAACAATAAACCTGTGCTCATGATATGGACAATAGCATGTATACATACGACAACAAGGCCATAGCGTTGTCACCATAGAAGAACTTGCTCTGGATGTATGTTCTGGGTAGTCATGAGGCAGGGTGGTCCTCTTCTGGTCTCTATGGCAGTCACAGTCCCAGACTCTGGGGGCAAGGAGTTCCTTGCTTTTTACTCAACTTCTTCCAAGGACCATCCTTCCATCTCATCTCTTAGACACTAGGAGGGTTTTCCTTTCCTCATTTCTTGCTCTACAAAGTATGCTGATAATTGCCTAGTACTCATTATCTTCTGGCTTTACTCACTCAATCTTGCCTTTCGACTCAAACCCCTAACCATGTTGCCAGGGCTGCTGTGGCAAGGGATTGCTCCTGGCCAGAGACCCAGGATTAATCCGATATACAACCTACATTTGGCCATCACATTCTCTCTCTCTCTCTCTCTCTCTCTCTCCCTGTGTGTGTGTGTGTGTTTTGCTTTTTTCTCTGTTCCTCATCTCATGTTGTTTCCTCCTTTAAAAATCAAAAGTGCAGAAGATTCATGGAGTACTTCCTTTCTCTGAAGTATCAGTCGATCTTACATTCTATCTTTGGGCACAAAAGACATGCTTATCACTTCTGTACCTTTGTCTTCTTCCAAAGAAGTAAGAGAGAAGCTACAAAATTCTGTTTCCTGCTACTTTAGACTAGAGAAAGAGAAGCTCCTGGCTGGAGTGAGTGAGGAACTCCAGAGTAAAAAGAAGTGAGGACAACCACTGGATCTCCTGAAATAAAAGGAAAGGGCATGTGGACAGGCAGCCAGCCCTGTTGAGAAATATCCTACAAGTTTCTGGTGGCAGGAGGGCAGAAACTTCCACTATTCCAGACCCAAGGAACAGCTACCATGAACCTAGCTACAGAGGCCCCTCTCCACAAAATGTCTTGGTATAAAGGTTGTCACTGCCAAAAGTGGGGTGAGATTAAATGTACTCCTTACATTCCAGAAAAATGGGTGAGTGCATTTCCCTAGAATATTTTTACGTAATGCATACCTAGGAAGAGGCTGATGTGATTAGTGCTATGCTTAGCTACAAAGAGCTAAGCAGGCTTCCATGGACTGTACTGGGATCCTGTTATACATAGCTAATGGAGCTTTAAAGGGAGAATGTGCTTTTCATTTCAAAACACAACCCTTAGAAATAAGTTCCAGATTAAAACCCTTATTGATATTGGGGCGCTTTAGTAAGCATTCCTTTTCAAGCAGTTTTCTAAAACAGGGCATATTTTAACCTGGCATGAGTGTGGGCTGTACAGGAGAAGGGAGGAAAAAGAATTCATTTCCTATTCAATTTTAAATTGTGAAGTAAAGTTTCTTTTTAACAAAGCGTGATTTATACACAGATCTGATCTACTTGAGAGCTAATAGATTCACTTAAGTGTTAATGGCCCTGATGCATACATATGTACATTTCATATTTACTGAGTATTTACTATGTATTCAGCACTTGACTTGCATTTTCTCATTTGACATTCAATGTTTTAATGCACAATCTTTGGCTGAAACAGTTATATTCTATCAGCAGAGTGTCCTTAGACACTTAGTTTCAGGACACTTAGAAAATGTGCCTGTGTCTGAGTGCAATCTTCATTTCAAGGTTTTACACTGTCACTGTGAGTGACCAGAACACTATTACCTGCTAGGCACACCATTTTCCTTTGGTAGAGCAAATAACTACTCAGAGAAGTTTGAGATTTCAAACTATAGGCAAGGGTCTCCAGGAGGCACCTTTCATGGCTGTCACCTACACGGAAATCTCAACTTTGGAATGGGTGTGGAAGTCTTTCCAATCTGTCCTTCCTGTAGCATTCTGTGTATGGTGTTCAAAGTTTGTAGCAGTAAATGATTGCTAATTGCAATGAAAACCATCCACTGGAACATTTAGGCAAACTAACTTCTTTTTAGTTGTTCACCTTTAATAATGTATACATATAAAATGTACATGCAAATTTCTCCCATCCTCATTTGACTCTTTGCCAAACACTCTCAAGAAACATGTCATTATATCATTCAGTGTTTATTATATGCTGTGCACATTATATTGTGCCAGAGACTGTAATCCTGTATTGAAGGGACTTAATTAGAAACACATATCTTTCCAGGAGTTGGTATTGTAGAGCTTGGGATTCACTGGTAAATTATCCTTTTTGCTTACGAAATAATAAACCTGCCTTACAAAATAGCTCAGAATAGAAAAATCTCAAAATAATGTTTATGTTACATTCAGACGTGCTTAGTTGTGAATATTCAAAATGAGGTAATTAAGGACCAAATTAGATACCATTAGAATAATCACCTAACTTCTTTTTTGGCATCTCAGAAAAAAATATTAGACTTACCAACAGGATGACATTATCACTTAGAACACCCCCAGGTTTTTAATCTATGCCAGATTCACACCACTGTGAATGATTAATATGTCTAATTTAAGGTTTAAAAAATTTCAAAACATTTCTTACAGTAGAGGTTTGTTTCACAGACTTGCTCAGACAATTCCAACCTTCTTCTCCACAAGGAGAAGTGTTCTGAGAAAGGCATGAAGAAATGACTCATGTAGCAAATTTCAAGTTTGGATCACAATGTATGCTGATTTAATAAAAGAAAATACATTAAATAGGATTAAAATTAGTGCAAGGAATGCCTGATGAACTCAAGCTTTTAAAGTAAGGATGCTGAGGTTTTGGCAAAGGGCTCTTGGAACTGTCTTACAGCACTGCAAGAGACTGAAAAATGGTGAGATAACCTTTAAGTTTCTAACAAACCAAAATGTTTCTTTTCTTAGTTTCCATTTCTAATTTATTTCTTCATTCACTGAGGACTGCAGGTCTAGCACTGTTTCTTAGATCACAAACACAACAGCTTTCTACAACATGTGTAAATAAATGCTCACAGGCATTATCATCCCATTCCCAGGGAATCCCTGCATTCTTCCCACGAGTGAGGCCGCCTCTGCCCTGCACTCCTGCCTCCCCCAGCACCCTCACACTAACAGCTGGCAGTTACACTGTTCTTCACCACTCTCTTCCCCTGCAGATACATTTCCTTTTGGCAGGAAACATCTTCTCCCATCTCTCTAGTCCTGTTACTTTGGGAATTAGTTTGTGGGTCCCCTTCTCCAGACACTGTACAGTTTTTGGTCATCATAATGCTCCAGTCTGGTCCTTTCTCTGTATCCTAGGAGCATCATGCAGATATTTCTAGCACCATGCAATAAACGTTAACATGGGTCCTAAGACATGTAATGTATAATTTGATCATCTAACATGCCCTTAGAATTGAGATCATAAAGAATTTGAAGACAAAGACTATGCCTTATTCATTGTTGTATAGTCACCAATGCTTACAAAAAGATAGCAGGGAACTGGTGTTTGCTGAAGTAATTAGTGTGACAATGTGAAATCTGTCCTCAACTTGACTTGACCTAGGTTACATGCTAGGCCTTCAGGATCGCATACATAGAGAAATAATTTCTGCTCATCAGTCAACACAAATCAGATTTGTCATGTTATGTCCCAAGATCTGTGTGCAATTTAAAAGGTATTTTTATACCTGTAAAAATTCAAGCATGGAGGTTAACAGCTGACAGACCATGTTCATTAATCCTTCTCTATTAAACTTACCATTAAATGGCAAAAATATCTCGTGTCAAATGTCAGTTGTGGTCTCAAATATCGGCCTTAGTTATATAGTAAAAAGCATTATGGAGATTTAATGCATATGATCAATCACCTTCAATTCCCTTTCCTGAATCCACACTGTCCATAAATACCACTAAAATAACAGTAAGGCATTAAACAAACAAACAAACAACAACAACAAAAACAGATGTAAGTGCAAAAGAACAAAGGGAAGGGAAAGAAGAAGACATCAGAGAACAAGAAATAACACATTCTTATATGAATGAAAGTGCACTGTTTTGAGTCAAGATGGAGCAATAGGGGCTAGATTTACACTCTCTACTGAACACTCTACTCTAGTGAAACAACTAAAAAATCAGATAAAATCTTTGAAAAAGTGGCTAACAAGACATTGGTCATCCAGCAACAAAGGACAGTGATTCCTGAGAGATGAAAAACAAGTAACGTGAGCCATACAGTTGT